TGAACTGGAAAGTGACCTGAGATGACATGATGTGAATTGGAGCTATAGAAATAAACTGAATAGAATTGAACTATTTTCGACTAAAAAGCCACAGAAGTAGCTAAAAATTCCTGCATTTATACAAATTAAAAATAATAATTTTAGCTGTCAGGGAAATAAAGAAAACATTGAAAACAAATGGCAGCAGATTGAAAGTGCAAGGCAACACATTTTATTTGAAAGGCCTAACTGGCGTTAAGGTACAGCATATTAAATATAATTAGTCCAGACGGTCATCGCAGAGTTACATACCATTCTTTTCTTTACAAGATACATTCAGGCTGACTTAAAATGACATATTTTACACGTTAATGTTAACAGTTAAAGTACTTCCTGCTGACCAAACCTTTAGTCCTTTTTTTTTCTTTTTTTATCTCATGATGAACAAAACAACTTAAGACACTTAAAAGCTGCTGTTTCAGTCTGAAGATTAGCAGCTACCTATATTAATCTGAGTTAGTGTAATGAGTTCCTCAAAGTATGACAGAATAATATATTTTACATCCCTGCACAAAATGTTATATTTGAATAAATATAATAAATAAAAAAGTACAAATAGTTGAACAGAACTAGATCATTTCTGCAGCCAAATGCTCAACTTAAAATGGTGACTCAGTAGACGGACACTTTGTAACTGAAAAAAGGAAATAACATGATGTTAGTGATGTTTCCAGCTTTAAAAAGTTAAATAAGTCTTTTTTTTTTTTCCTTAAAAAGCAAAACAAGCCACGCTTTCTGACACACATACATTCTGGGCTTCCTCTCCTTCGGAGTCGAACCTGCAGCTTTTATAAAATGGTTCTGCAGAGATTGGCATGACTTGTTCCTCTGGAAACGGTTTAGTGTCCTTAATGGAAGAGAAACCGATGCCTCCTTAAATCTCTTTGCTGCAGTTTGTCCTTCAGTAATTCACCTTCCCGGGAACCTGGACGTTAACTCCACTGTAGTCCACCATGTACATGGGCCACTGCTGCAGGGACACAGAGGGGGGGGGAGAAAACGTCAACAGCTCAGATAGCAGCTTTACAACAAGACCTAATATAGGGTTTATACAGGAATCAGTCACTTTTAATTTGATTCACTCAAAAATAACTTTATTCCATCAACAGGTACCCATGACTCTCATATATATGATATATATATATATCTTTATATATATGTGTGTGTGTGTGTGTTTGTGGCCATGTCTTTAATACCTGGTGGGGACAATTTCCTAGGAACCAACAACTGGTCCCCATAAGGAAAGTTTCTCTTCTTGGGG